AACCGGCTCCCAAGCGTCCCAACTGTGACCACTGAACCTGACGCTGGCGTGCACAGGAGCCGGGGGACCCGGGATGAAGGAGAATGCAAAAAAAAACCCCAAATAGTGAAAAAACCCCAAACCCCAAACTGTGAGAAAAACCCAAATTGTGAAAAAAATCCCCAACCCCAATGAAGCCCGACGTGCTCCTGCAGCAGGGAGAAACTCCACTTTCTGGGAGAACCTTCCTCATTTCCTTAGGGGGGAAAAGCTTTGTGTGCTGTGGGGTTTCTGGTGTTGCCAGAGGATGAAGGCCTCACCCTGATGACTATCTTTGCATTCCCAAAAGAAATAAAAATATTTTCTTGCCTGGGGGGATCTTTGCTCCCAGTGATGCTCTGCAGCGATCCAAGGCGTGTGGAGGGACTTCCATGAGCGATGTCCCCACGATTTACACCCCATTCTTAGCTCAGCCCCTGCTGCCTGTGCTACCAGCAGCAAATCCCCCCCTCCACCACCCCCAGCCCCAAAATGTGATATTTTTTTTTTTTTATTATTTTTTGTCCTCCTCCCTGGGGAAGGAGGCAGGGAGGCGCGGGGGGAAAGAAGCAGGCGGAGGCGCGGGGGGGGGAGCCCGGGGTACAGACAAACATTCTCTTTATTGAGCTACACATGAATTTTTCCATTAGTCAGAGAAAGAGATTGGCAGTGTGTAATATATCACAGAAACCTCACTGATTGGTAATAGAAAGGCTTAGAAAGACCTGGCGCTTTATATATATATATATATATAATATTTTGATTTTTTTTTCCTTTTTTTGTTTTTAGTTTCCTCTTTATTTATCCATTTTCTTTTAAACAGGTGTGACTGCTCTTCTTCAGCAAAGGTAACTCATAAAAGTGGAACCGTGAAGATGCCTGATTACTAATCAAAGTAGAAATGACGACAGATTGGTCATGAAAACGGTGGCTTCAATGTAAACACTACATTCGAGTTTTGTTTTGTTTTTTATTTTTTAAATTCTTTTTTGTGGTTTGTGTGTTTTTTAAAATTTTTAAATTATTTTCCTTCTTGCTTTTTTTTAAAGTTGGTTTTTAAACTTTTTTTTTCTTTTTTTTCTTTTTTTTTTTTCTTTTTTTTCTTTTTTTCAGCACAAACATCCCCACATGAGAGAGAAAAAACACCATTCACTAAACGGGAGAGAGGGCTGGGGCAGGGCAGGGGGGGGGAAGAGAAAAGCAGCACGAAAAAGCATTCACTGGGAAGAGTTAAAAATTAATAAAAACCAAACAAAAAAAATATATACCCTAAACAAAAAAAAAAAAAAAGAAGAAAATAAAATATAGATATGTATAACCCTCCCCGCGGCCCCCGCTCCGC